ATAAGTATCTGGCTCGAATTTTACGAAAGAATTTGGAAATATTACGAATATGACGCCATACCATGCACTTCTACAATATCATGCCACTTCAAGAAAGGGACGCCTTAAGAAATTCCTTTCTAGTGGCGGTCGTAAGAGATTTTCAGATATCTCTTTCAATCCAGTACCCAGCTGTATCGCTTCTTTACAACAAGAACGAAACGTTAGCCGGCAATTTGTCTCCAGGAGTTAAGGTTAGATGGATATAATTCAGCGTAAGCTCCATCCATTTCGAATTCTCTATTAAAGTCTTGCGGGACATTGCCTACCCGGATCGACACGGATATCCATTAGCATATTTTTCGGTGAACTTGGGCTTTTGAGGATTTTCTCCCTGAAATACAATCAACAAAGCAAATTTTCCAAGCGCCGTGTAGGAGATCTGACGGAAGCCTCTCAAACTGGCAGAGGCTACAATTATCACTTGATTCTCTGATTTCTCCATACTCCTCATCCTCTGCGCATTTTCGTCCGTCCGAGTAAATATGCAGTCAGGGGCGATCCTGAAGAACATGTCTTGTCAGTTTCATATTCAAAAATGGTCTCGCATAACAAAGCAAACCAACCAGCACCATATTGTCGAACCTCTGTTCCTTCCCCTCACTACTGTAGACACGAGCCAACAAAAAAGTAGAGAAGGCCAGTGACAGAAGATGCACTCTGTTGTACACATTGTGGGAGCAGCACCATGTCTACACTTGTCGGCGTCTGACTGTTGTATCGCACGCGCAGTCCAGCGCGCACCTAGAGGTGCGCCGCTAATTCAGGCTCACTCCTCAGACAACGCTGTAGTGACTTCCACACAGCACCGCCATCAGAGCGCATTTGCGCACAAACGTTGCACAGTTGCAAATTTTGCATTTTTTTGTTGCGCCAAGTCACGACTACGCCCATAAACAGGCGTCACCTCATACGCACCCACAGGCGATTTTGTGATGCACAGCGCCTCGTTTCAAGTGGCCCCAAAACTGTGTCAGTGTAAGTACTCACGTCATTATATAAATGCAGTTGCAGACACCTGGTCAATTATCAAGATGAGCGGCACAAACATGGCCAAACTTCTGAAACATCACTGTCGTCCGTGTTCTAACATCACTCCTTCCAGATATTTCTCTCTTGAAACTACCGTCGACACTATCATCATGACCTTCTCCTAGGCACACTGATTTCTACTACCAAGCATGTGAGTCGCTCTGCAACCCATCCCTCCTTGTAGCATCAATGACGGGGAACTTCTCATCGGAGAGTTCGTCTCACTTCCTCTGTGTTTATCGGAGCGTGTTACATCGGGCACAATCTTGTCCCTCGGGCCCGTAACCCAATCCGCCAGCGTGCGTTGGCGAAAATCGCCAGCATGTCTACCACACACCTGAACCTCTGCATGAATTGCGTCATCGTCTCGAGCCTCTGCCTTGATCACAACCAACCAATATTACGCCACCTCCGTCTGTACTGATCAGAATAAATCTTTCCACCACCCGCCTCATGGTCGAACCGTTCTTTTAATCTCTTTTTTCGGAGATCACTGCTGCCATCATCACTGAGCAGCCCACCGTCTTTGCTCAACCCTCTGCTACGTCAGGGTTATCCATACTCACTGAGAATGCTCCCGAGCGTATTCATCTCTCAGTCCGCCCGATAGCACTTAAGGGTTTAAAACACGACCACCCCCCCCCCTTGACAATCGCAGGTTCCCTTGCATCACACGGCGCATCACACGTGTGCTTGGGCAAAAGACCCTCGGTTTCGCTCCGCCTACGAAAGTAGGCAGTAACGCAAACGCATATGCGTGGACATGATCTAAGAATGTCAACGCATGTCCTGGCCTCGTAGTGGCCACTGCGTTAGGTGGAGATTAAATCTGTCATCAACCTTCAATCACCGTTCTGGTTGTCAAAAAACGCACTGCCGAGTGTATATTAGTTTCCAGCACAGAAGAAAAACGTCAGTAAAGCAGGCGTCGGAGGCGTTGTCTGGGGTGATCTCCGTTGAGCATTACTCAGTGCTGAGCGACTGAGGGATGGCTTGGTGGCGGCATCATAGACCGCTATGCCTTTTAGAAAGTTGGTGCGGCCTCATCCGACGTGGTCTTGGAAGAGAACGTAAGTAGACTCATACCAGGTAGTCCAAGTCGTGTACTGAACTACCACTACTGCACCTTCCGCTTTTTTCCACACTGAAGCTCTCCGCAGAGACTTTTGCATGCCATCTACTGTGCAGTAAGTAGCCTTATATCGATCTTTCTGATTATTGTCTACTGTCAATCCAATAATCGTATGATCCCTGCCGATCCTGGTTCCTTCTAAATCATTAGAACGGTTATAGTAGGCTCTCGGTCAAAATCGACACTGTCCCGGCTAAGTTAATAATTAACCTTATTTCTGATCCACTGGCCAGAGACATCATGAGCGATAGAAGACGGTGATCGCTGCTTCGTCTTCCCTAAACTACAATAGCAAATTTGAAGATCGGTATATATCTCGATCACCTAGTTTATTCACTTAGGACGAACTGCAGGTCGAAATGAGCGCAATCGCACCTCCAAAAGGCCTTCCCTCCCTTGCACAATCCCACTCATCATATAAATCGAGCCACCGACGAGATTGTCTCCGACCGCTTCGTCTAGCCTGGACTAAGAAATGGCCTAAGGCTTGGACAGGCGTGCAGCAGCTGCCAGCGGACCGGTGACACAAGAAAACCCACTCGGTACATTCCCAGTCTTCAGCAGCATGACGTTGTAGGACACCCTCCTCACCCCAATGGTTGTTCCTACTTTTTCACCTGTGTGGACTGATTCACGCAGAGGGGTGAAATCTAGAGTACAGTAAGGGAAAATTGGCGAAGTCGCACATCTCCATCAGTTGTTAGGCCACCTGAATAAATTGGACGGTCGAAAGGGGGCCAAAAACTGGCGCCAAAATATGCTGTACTTCTGATGGTAACTTGTCCATCGCCGTCGCTCGACTGTAAGGCAGGTCGGTGAGGAAGACTGGTGTTCAAGAGTGACAGCAGGCAGACCTTATTCGGCAGCTGATAGCAGTAGGTAGATCACGTCTAGGCCCTTGAGAGCTGAAATTAAGTGTCGCAAGTGGTTGCGTCACCTGTGCCAAGTGCTCCGATGAAGAACAAGACACTAGTCACGGAGGCGTACAAGCACTCCGTGGTGGTGACACACACACCGCTGAGAAGCCCAAGACTTGTGACCTCAGTCGTCTCGAAGTTCCTGGGGAAAAATCAATGTCCCCGTTAACCCCATTATCGGTCCCGCCTCTGGTTTTCAACAAAAGACTTGTCAACTTTTTGACACTATCAGGCGGAACTGGTACGAATGCTAAGGTTGTCCACCAGATTATGATGCATGAGAGTATCGCAGAAGCCTGAGCCATGAGTGAGGCCCTGGCTAATACGAGTTTCAGGTCCTGTCCCGACTCCGGTCGAGACCCGACTGGGGTCGCTGCACGCAACCGCTTCTGCAGACGACTGCAATTAGACTGAAGGAACATAGCGAGCACACTCGCTGAGCTTGGTGCCGAGGGACAATCTCTCGTCCGGCAGCAGCAGGGAATCCCGCCCAGACTGTGAGCAAGTGCAGTCGGTACCGCATAAAAATACCTCTGCCCAACCTTTAATAACGCCCCTCGGTTTTCCTGTATGGCGGTCCCCATTTGAACAACCATTGCAGAGCCAGTGGCCAATCCGATACATTTCATCGTCCGATCGATAACGCCCAAATCCGACCGTCCCATGGCCTGAATAATTCAGTAGGAGTCTCAATCGACCCGCATTGTAACACCGCTAACGAGCTTCAAGAACAAACATACGGTCCTCGAAAATGCAAGAGTACCTCTATGAGCAATATGGAAGCGGAGTATTGGTGAGCAGCCCGCGCAGGGCATCCGAGGGGTGGGCCCCCCTCAAGCAAAATTACTGCAATGCACACTGCGAACAGCCGGGATCGCCGAATAAGTACATATTCCGACAGGCGATGGCAAGGTGCTCCACGATGCTCCCAGACGGGCCAAGGTCAGGCCTTTGTCAGGTCGGGTTTCTACCATAGAGTTCGATTCACACGACCCCACCCAACGATGACAGAACCACTAATTGTAAGGCATAAAACACCCCAACGTCAGCCGAGCTTACTACTGACAAGATCGCCTACCTGACAACACGATCACTACCTAAGTCTATAATCTGGGTCGGCCCTCCAAGGGGAAACTGATCTGACGTCTGCATAGGTCAGCGCATAGTGGTCCGAGCGTGTTCAAAACCTCAGATACGTCCTACCAATTTGGAATTTAAAGCCCGCTGAGACCGCCACGATAAACATCTACTTAGCCCACTTTATGGGTATCTTGGATCCTAAAATGTTTAAGATCCAATGGCTATAGACGGATGATAGCATGGACATGCCCACATTCACACAGAAAGCAAACGCTTTTTCGATACCTCTTCTCTCCCCCCCCTTTCTTATTTACCTGAATACTACGCAGAATTCAGATGGAATCACCAAAGTGGCCGCAGCATTGTGTTCAGACGTCTCAATAACTAGATGTTTCGGCCATAAAGGTACTCGGCAGCCGGCCGCAGGCGACGATGCGTGTTACCCCAAGGCGACAGTCACCACAAATCGTATGAAAAATGAGTAAATTCTGCATTTCCTTTCTGAAGCAAAAGAATGGGGTCCAGATTTGTACACCGGGGGATGAGGCAGGCATATGTACACATATTCCGAGTTCGTAGAAATTGGCAAGGCCGGTTGCTGTGGCAAAGGGAAATCTCGTCCTCTTCACCTGAGACGAAGTGTCCTGAAGGAGCCCAACGACCAGATGCTGGCGACGACGAAGGAAGTTGCACGGTTGCAGACTTGTCCGCGATAATTTCTAGCGTTGTATACCACTTCTTCAAAAAATTAGCATTGAAAATGGCAAGAAAAACACACATCACATGACCCTGCCCGACCTCTAGGTTGCATTTGCTTCGGTGGCACCTGCCTGGCAGATTTGGGACCAAATTTCCTTGCAATCTAACTTCTCAACACCCTCCACCAGATTGGCGGGAATACTCATTTCTTTGACCAGGAAGTCGGAGCACTCTGTGGTGCTATAGAACCCCAGTGTCTCAGCCACATATGACAAACTTAAGGTTGGTCGATAACTGCAAGGGGGAGGCAAAATACACGAGTCCATCAAGGAATGGGACGCAGGGAGAACAGAGAGAAGAGCACGTTTCCGTCCAATCGCGTGCGCCGAAGGAAGACGGGTTTGAGGATGCCCAAGCATCAGCAAGATACAAATAGAACCAAAGAAAATAGGGAATTAGGGAAGGAAATAGGGAAAAGTTCTGATTGTCCCTTGAGGGATGCTGGATGGATGGCACAAAGCAGGTAACAGTAATTTCCAAATCTGTGATGATCAGACCATCAAAGTTGTGCTCAAATTACAGGAGTATCAAACGTGAAGCAAAACATGTGAGAGGGGCAAATACCGAGAAGCTGTGATTGTTAAAAAGACAAAATTACTTAAGATAATCGACAGGTTGTGGATGGTAGCATATAATTAGAATAACCTTGAAATTTCCTTAAACGCTGTTCAACTCAACGCTGATGGCAATTATTCTTTTCTATAGTATTCGAAGTGGATAAGGATAATGTGCAGGTTCCCTTACATACCAAAAATGCCTATCTCTTATTAAATATGATCTGCGGAGCGCGGTAAAACGGCAAACCTAATAACTGTATCCCAGTTACACAGCATACAAATTTGTCTTGAATAGTCACAACCGGATAGGGACTAGTCGGAAAAGAAGGCGGTGAGACCGCACAATAACCCCCATTTTGTGGAGAGCCAGTACCTCGAGGGGGGAGCCCGACCCAGTACAAAAGTCGTGAGAGACCTTCGCGACACCGACCTTACTCTCCTTCTGCGCTCATGGCATTCCGATCGTATGACCAAAACAAGGAGGCCGAAGAACGGCCAGGGCATTTTCCCCACCCCTGGCATACCATGTACGCCGGCTTCCCTAAGATAAAGTACAAGACGTTGCCAACGAGTGGTCGAACGATAGTTTGCAGTTCCGACAACAGAGTTACCTGGTTGGCCGACAGTTGCTAGTCAAGGTGTTTAAAGAGTTAAGATGGTTCACATACATCATACTGAGAACCGGTTTTACTTTGCATTCGCTTTCGAGTGCAACTGTAACTGGGATCGGGACATCCCGCTTCTCTGAACTGGTTCCTCAAAGGCACGAACCATTTTCCTCGAATATATGGCCTTAGTTTAGGCCTGACGCAACAACCTAGGTCAAACAAACACGCATACACAAGCAGCAGCTCTACAACCACATAAAATTACGCACGTCTTGAAAATAGCCTTAATCGCCTGCTTCCGTTCTCGAGAGAGAGACCAGGCCAAAACCTGTAAACAACCGCGTGGTGGTGGTGCCTCTTCACTCGAGGACGGACAGGCTAACTGAAAGAACCGTCGATAGTTCCTCAGGGCCCAGGCCTCACGCGCTTTGAGGGCGAACTTTACGTGCGGATGCTCCTTGTGGGAAGGCCTGAAGGAGGCCATTATGGTGCTGATACCTGCAGAAAGGCAAGAGGGGGGAATCAGGTAAATTACTAGTCAAACGAGTGTTGCATTACAACGAAAAATAAGTCCATTCAAAATAAGAATCATGAAAAAATCCTGGATGGCGATATCAGAAGTGATGGAGTGCCAAGTGGTACTGCTAATAGTATGTCTACTTTATAGGAGAAACCTGTAGCTTACAGGAAACCGAATATGCAAATTCACTAGCGCAATGCAGGTGCCTATTTGTAGAATTATGTCAAGCTCTGCATTGCAGCTAAAATGTTTAATCGGATTCGTGAGATGATTCTAACAATGGCAAACTGAAGTTATTAATACTGGAGTGAGAGTGCCAGGTTTTTGTCGCAAGGAAGTTGAGTCGGTCATCGGAAGTCATTAAATTCGTCTTAGCTCTCACGCTTGTGAATGAACCCACACAGACAGCAGCAGGCGGTCAGTCTGGCACCGACTGTACATAAAAGGTGCATCGGGGAAAAGCAATGTCTCAGTTTAACGCAGTTATCTCCCGGGAGTCTGCGTTCATAGAACAGTCATTGCAGTACAGGCCAGACAATATGACGACCCAGAACATGAATACGCTGCCTATATCGCGAGACTTATCCTCAGACAATGTTGCACGCGGCCGACAGGAGCAAAAACTGCAAACGGCTGAGAATGTCACCGCCACTTTGTCTGATGATCAGCTCCTAACGGGTTCAAAGGTTCGAGCGAACATAAAAACCAGCCCAGCAATTGTCCTTTCTTGTTCGCACCATGGATTCCAGTCATGCCAAATAAGGCACACGAACCACTTCCGTGTCTGTTCGGGCTCTCAAGTATAACTGGTAGGCACATGATAGCTAATGGTAACAGAAGGTAGCGAGCAATCGTCAGGGGCACAAGTATGCTTCACGCCTGTGATCAAACGGCGTAGCAGCGGTGGCATTCAATCCTATCTACGTCTCACAAAATCAGCGCAATCTCTTAATGTGCGTTGGCGGTGAGGACGCGTGGGATGTTAGCAAGTTTGTCGCTCGGCATTCTAGTTTCTCAGTCTACAAACTTCTCAAATAACGTAGTATGAAGTAGAGACAGAAAAGCAAAATGAATTGGCGGCAGCAAAACACTGTTCAAGTTAACAGAACTAGATTAAGCTGCTACCACACCTCTTGGTCCTTTACTACTAAGTACGTTAAAACGCGGAAAACCCGCAATGAAGACAAGTCTAAAGGCTCGGTAAAAGCGGACAAATTACCGAATCCCATGTTTCCTTCCTAATCATCACAGAAACCAGTGGCTTCTCAAAAGAAAATTGGAGATCCGATCACAGAAAAAGGCTTTAAAAAGAGCTAGGATGAGAATAGTTAACGCACCTAGGAAATCCAATGTGAATATGTAGTACAAAAGACGGTAGGCCGAAAATTCGAGACGTCGCGCCAAACCCAGATTTTCGGAATGCAAGCGCAGAAGCTGACTTTGGCATTGGTGAAATTCCTCAAAGTCCCCAGCATCAAGGGCGATATCCGCGTGCGCTTCGTAGACCTTGGCTGTAAATTCTGTCTGTATGCCTTGGATCTAAAAAGCAGAATGAGGACACTAGTCATAGCCAAACCATGATAGCAAGGGTTAGGTTTCGAAAACCGGAGGGACTTCGCGAATCGCAAATTTTCGTTGTTGTCTACTATTATCAGTCATGCAACTTTGACCAAAAGACAGGTTAAGATAATAGTGAAACAGAATATCAGAGGAAACTTGGTGTCGATAGCAAGTAAGTCGCTGACGTACAATCAAGTCTTGGCGGATGCTCTTCAACTGTTCACACACCCAGTGGTAATCGTTCTTCTCCTTCCACCGCCGCAACACGTGAGCCAGAGAACGGACCAAAACCTCAGCTGGACGAACGTTGGAGGGATCCGGTGCCTGAACAGACAAAAAAACAGCTCTGGTAAAGAACAAGGACTAGTGGGGACGGAATGAAATGCAGAACTCGATGTTGTGCAGTGCGAAGTAAATATCCTGATCCCTGATGACATGCGTTGGTGCGCAGCAGCCCTACACTGGCTCATAAAAGCTGACATTCGAACAGCCGTTTATTGTGTTACGAATGACCAAAGATGTGCTGAGTTCGACCACCCAATGCATGCAATATACCAAAACCACTAACCACAGCCTATCCAACGACCAAATGACTCGGTTCTGTCCGCCCAATTATAACGATTAGGTATAAGGGTAAAATAAGTGTTTCTATTGGCAAACTACGTGATGGGGGCTACAAGTTTATTAATTGAAATATGACCACTTTATGTTACGGCTTTATCTTCGCAGCGGTCAACTAATGCAAATTTCATGACTATTGGAAAAGCCAAGTTTTCACGACCCGTGGCAATGCGGCTGCAAAGCCAGGTGAATGGGGAGGAAACGTCAATATACATCGTCGCGCAACTCAACACTTTTAACTTTCATCTAACGATGTACAAACAGAAAGCGACCAAGTAGGTAGGATATATTAACGAACACGGGTTGCGACAAAAGGATGGTCTTTGCGAGGGAGATATCAACAGACTACTTCGGGTGGCAATAAATGTTGGCCTTCGCCACCAGCCCTTTCTGCGGGGGGATGATCACTTAAGCGGCAACATGCCCAACGGAAAGGCTCAGAGAGGAAACTCAATTTTATTCATGTACAAACACGGAGTTTGTTAATTTTGAACAAGCAGAACTCGCCGTTTCAAGGATAACGTCACGGACGCAACTATTGTCCACTTGGAGAAAGTAAGTTGGCAGGCCCATGACAACCATGGCGAAACTTCCCTCAGCACTGCAGGCAAAACACTTGTCCGCGTCCTCAATCACTTGAACACATATCTGGAATTATGACCCCTTTGACAGACAAGGATTCAGGGACCATCGTTCAATGGACGCGATCTTCACGGCCCGGTAACTTCAGGTGTCATTAAATAAGAGCCAGTCTCGATTCCACAAAGGCATCATCTGGCACTTCGAACCGTAACGAACTCTGAAAATTCCCGGGTCTGAACTCCGGAGCGGTTGACAGCCGATCTGACGATATGGTAGCATGTGTCACAGATGAGTCAGCATTGAAAGCATTTGCACCGACAAGAAAGATGAAGAGTTGCCAACTCGAGCCTACCCTGTTCTGTCTTATGCGCCTCATCGCGATGAACGTCTACCGTGAAGAACAGCCTGAAACTGATGCCAACTACCAAACTGGCATCCGTCATCAGTAGGCCAAAACCATAGCCCGGACCTAGGGTCCTTCATTTGCAAGAGTGCGCTGCCATTGCACTTGCTTTATTTGTGGCCTACTTGGTGGTCGACTGTTCGTGATCCCCACAACCGGATATCAAGGCCTGCTCTTTCTAGGAATTTCTACATATCGACCTATACCCAGTTCTGTGGGATTAAGGAACAACGCCTTCTTGCACAGGCGTTTTGAAAGAGACCCAATCAAAAGTTTCGAACATCGGAATGTTGTTCCTTCATGTTGGTTTCTATAAAAAAAAAAATCATTTTTTATTCCGTACTTACTCATCTCCACTTCTTACTGTATATCAGTTTGCCATCATCACCATTGCTGGCTTCTTTTTCACAACGACAAGACGTCCCAATGGCAAAAATAGTCGAGTCTTACGTTTAGGAATTTTCGCTCCGATGTCTTTTGCCTCAGCCAGAGCGTCGTGGTGCTTAAGACCCTTTTCCGACCGTCCCGATTGCACCAAAATCTACAAGCTAAATCTAAGATTCCGCTCGGCGCCGAGACAGTGTGTCAAGGGATGAAATCATGGGTATTCGATATTTGAACGTGTCCTTAGGACTAAGGTCATCATTAGAAAGGTTTAAGGGATTGGCATTCAAGGCAACAAACATCTTGTGGTATATATTGATGTCATGTAAATGAGATTACTCTATCCGGATGGCGTGATGTCGAAAAAAGACAGACAACACTTGTTAGCACCAAAAAAATTTGTGACGGTTCCACTGCTGCAACCTGTTCTCGTAAAAGATGAATAGTGAGGAAATAGTCGTTGAACTAGATGTCATCTCTCAACTTGGTGGGACAGTCCGACGTGTGTTCGCTTATTCCGACGACCAAGTGCTTGCTTTCACAAATTCAGGAGATATAGGAAAACAAGCAAATCCCCATACAACCACCGTAGATACGTGTGCCACAACAAGCTTGGATCGTCAATATCGACATAACCACATTGTGCGGACACCTGGACCGACAGATAGATGCGCTAACTAGCCTTGTTCGGTTTTTCCGTCAGACAGTGGTTATCATCGGCGCGCACACGGTGCGTTCGCCAAAGTTTAGCGGAGACATCGTTGAGCGCTGCGTACCATATGGGGTCACAACAGGGTGACCGACATGCAACAATGGGACTACGTCTCCCCAGCGTCTCATACAGCCCATGCAAAATTATGCTAATCTAAAGGGGAGGGGGTAGTCAGCGCCTACATGCAGCAATATCGGGGCGGTTGGGCACATGAGGGATATTTTTTCTTACGCTAGTTAGCCGAAGGTAAGGCTTTTCCAGTTCCTCGCTTGTTCCAGTGACTTTAAACTGGTGGAAGTCAAGAAGCTGGTCATCTTTATCTCCTGCTGACATCAGACACAACTGGCTGGTAGATTTTGCAATAGAGCCTGCACCCGTCAGAGTGGAGTCGCTGAGATGCTCTTTGAATCGATTGGCTCTTTGATTAAGTCGAAGTTGTGAACTCTCCTCCTTTGCCATGGACCACTGACTTTTTTTGCCCCGACCCCCGCGTTTTCCCCCTCGAGAGACGGTAGGAGTAGAGGTTGTGTTGTTGGGCGAAGTCGCAGAGTAATTGTTACTGTCCGTGCGACCTCCTCTGGTTCCGCGCGCTTTACCACGTGGGGTGCCCCCTCGTGGGGAACCGCCACCACGTCTAACTTCAGGCTCTGCCGGCGACCTGAATTGTTAGAAAAGAAATAAGCATATAAAACGGGTGTCCTGTTCTACAGATGGTCACCTAGACCTACCTACGAAACAACTGAAGTGTTCCCGTCTTCTAGGCATGCCAATCTTAAGAGAAGTGACACACGTTATAACCGGTCCTACAAGAGCCTGGGGGAATTCGTCGGTAGCAGTATTATCCATTATTTGCAGAGTAAGACCCATGCTCGATAATGTACCGAAGTGTAGGGAAAAAGTGGATTCTCGTAAACTATTACCGTGTATGCATATTCGCAAATCAGGGCTTGATTCGGTCGCCGTCAACTGCTGATATGGTGTGATCGGGTGAAATTAAAACGCGGCGAAAGTGTACTGTCAGTTTAAATTGTAAGAAGGCAGGAGGTCTTTCCCATCCTCTTAGGCTTTAAGCGGTAAGTCACTGCAAGTTTTTACTGCAATATGTAATGGATGACTGACAGCAAATGAGCCAAAAATGGCCACTTCATTGTTATAGTTCTTGCCAGTGACACGTCTCCATTGCTTGTGACATAACTTGCTATACTAAAATCAAGTCACGGCATTCCGATTCAATTTTGCCGCATTATACGCCTATTCCACAAAATCAGGAGTATTGTAACTTCTAAAATAGTGCCAAACTGCAATGGTTAATGAGCGCTTTAGCTATGCACTAAAAAGTAAACATTTTGGACGAATTCCCTGAAAGAGGCAGTTTGTGGTAGCTGGTTCTGGGCAGTGGAACGGTACTGGTGGAAAAAAACGTATGTTATACTATCCGAGTCTAACCCGTGGAATAAATGAAAACCGGCTGCAAGACAGCTAACCTGCTTATCCCTTTATGGACTTATCGCCTAGGCGGTCTTGAAAACATTGTCACTGACTTTTCACAACTGAAATATTAAGCGTGGACGACACATTCACTGGTCTCAGATGACGTCGAATTATGCCTAAATTAGTAGTATGCGCGGAAACTTCAGTCGCAACTATTCAGTAGGCCAAAAAGACAGGTGTGCGAATGAACTCACTCAGTGCAATGCGGCTTAGCCCAATAAAACAGCATACCAAAGCGCCTTAGCAAGCCTTCAGATTCAACTGGTCAGCTAATTACATGGGAGCGAGAAAGGGGCCCAGCCGCGTGGAATGCAGGTTCTAATGAACGATGTCCTACTGGAGAAGACAGGAAGTCGTCACTCGCCGTGTCAAAGTAATCTAAGAAGCGATTACAAATGGGCTGCTGAAACATGACGTGACAGGAGCTGTAAGTAGTATTTAGCAGTGATAGTAGGCAGATGTGGCAGTTCGACCGTCGCGAGCAACTACATCTATCGTGCGCGCCACGGGATGGACGCAAGGCGGTATTGCGCATGATATGGTTTACGGCGAGACAGACTCGCGCTGCAGCTTCTCCAACCTCGCCCACCTTGCTCCGATGACAAGGCAATGTCCGTATGACCGAAGGCAAGTATAAGAGCCCTGGCTGGCAAGGCCTAACAGCCCGTCTGCGCATTACACGACCTGGCTTCCACATGCTTCGAGCTTTCATGTGAGCGGCTTGGATCTCACACTCATAAGTACCATAAAGGCCCCACCAAAGGAGTCGTTGCAGCCTGAATCTCAATTCATCAGTCATTCCAAAATACTCCCACGAAGTTATTCTATTAACTGGCAACCCTCAGAGCCACGACCTATAGCGCACTGCGATAGGTTTACGAGCCTCAGATCTACGGTAGAAATGCGGCGATTGGAAGTGTGGCGGGAATCACCCGTATCGGCCTCACTCTCTTCTATCTCCTATGTACCAGTCGGAGCGGACAGATGTAAAAACGCGATTGCATAACCCACATCGGCGTGAAATTCACAGGTAGAAGCTGGTGTTGTATGTCAGGACTATTGTGTTCAACGAAGCGAAACTTCCGACGATGGGTTGCTTGGTCAACAATTTACCAGTTGACAAAACCTGCCACAGCTTATAAAACTGTGATGGCTGCGAATTAATTGAAGGGGAAGAACAGCATACTATGGGATAGAACCGACGGAAACAGTTGACCAGAAAGGACCGTTTTTATTAAGAGCATCGAAGATGAGATCCATAGATGAGGTCGCGATTGCACCTGGAAATGAGATCATGTCCTAACCCACAAACTGTAGGCATGACACAGTGCAAAATGTAGAAGATACACAGCAACTTAATTGGAAATAAGGGTTATTTGCACAAATAGCGGGTGTAACCTGAGTAGCCTGGCGGATAGATAGTTGCGAAATCACTTTAAATGCTTGATCTCGTCTGCGTAGGCGTTTCATGGTCGAGTCCCCTCACTTCCAAACATAATGCTCCAAATGTCAAGAGTACGGACGGTGTCAAGTATGTCTGTCTGTCAAAAATGTATGGATCTACGGCCGGAGAACAATCGACCGATTCTCATTAGCAATGATGAGCCAAGCACGAGTCGTACAACGGCGTCTGTGGTAGCCAAAACACCCGCGCCTGAATGCGAAGTATAATTTGAATTAGTCTGTGGAAAATTCGTGCTGCCCTGGGGGAGATTGCACATTCTCAGGGAAGTGGGCTCGCAGTCTCTGATTGGGCACAACCTTCCACTAACGGCGTCGACTTGTTACACTGGCACCAACCTGACAAGGAAACGGTCGAGCATATAATGCATTCTTTTGGTATACATGTGTGGGGCAAAATAGTACTTGGAAATTGTGGTTTAGTGAGAGCCGAAAGAAGTAGTAAAACTGGCTCAAACCACACGCCTGTCTGGGCACTGGCGTTTAGGTCATCCTCCAATGACAAGTCTTTGACGTTGGCAGGGGTAAACTTTAATGTCATTGATGCTGTTAGCAAACTCAAAAGTCGGACTTATTGGAGGAGTATTATGGCTAAATGTTAAAGGCCAGGTGTGCAGATGGCGTCTCGTCGCAGTCCGCGGCACGTGTGTGCAAAATGTCTGCTCACAACTTTTAGTCCAGAGCAGAGTTAGTGCCGCACGCAGACAGCCCCAGTAGCAAACGCCCTTCACAGACCCATAAAAGGGCAAGAAAGCAACCAATATGGCCTAACAACTAAGTTTTAGTGCTCCAAAAGAGTAAAGGACCAAATTTTTAACAAAAACATTGTGGTCGATTCAAATTGAATACTGCTGCAGTCCCCCATCAAAACCAGACAGGGAACGTTGAGAATGCTAAAAAGCTAGACCCGACTCGATTCGAAGGCCTGACTAAGTACAACGAACTAGAATAGTATCAAAACATGGTCAATAAGTTGGATGGCGATGAGTTGGGGGAACAATAAGAATGAAATTGATAGGAATGAGTTCCCACCTTGCGGTACTCTCATTACTATCCTGACTGTCGGCACAAGATCGGCGACCACGCCACTGTTTAGCGTTACGCCGTTTTGGAGACGGAGAACGCCTATGGCGTTTAGTATCAGCGAGCTTCCATGAAGGACTGGACCCCCGGCTTTGTGGACTGGAGCTAGTAGACGAAGATGAGAAACTACTCCTGCTTTCACTGATTCTTCTCTTTCGGAAGCCATTGTTAGTGGCGTTTGGAGACACTTTAGTAGACGGTTTTGGCCGCGAAACAGGACTAGGGGTGCGTGACTTGGGAGGAAGGTTTTTGAAGCTCGCACTTCCGTACAAAGGTAGGGTAAACTTTTTTTGCGAAGCGGGTTGTCTAAGAGTGCCGGTGGGCAGAGGACCGCCCAGTCTTCCTCGAGTAGGTCGTCGAGGTTGCATGGACACCGGACGTACAACACTAGCGAAGACAAAATATTTTTAAAGATGCAAGTCAAACTCCGTCTTAGGCTGGCTCTACTAAATCGGTATAAGGAAGTAAAATTAACAGGTAAGATTACCAGTAACTCGCAAATTTGGTCATGTACGCCAATACTCAACGATTGTTTGAACAAAATGACACCGTAAAACGTGGGCGTTCACCAATTTGGCTAAAACACGGGACACGCTCGCTCCGTCGTTCCTGGAGCCCTCGCAGACAGGTGCATAGTAAGAATGAGGAAGTAACAACAACAGATACTAGGTTGACCGCGGCAGCTGCTTACGACGGGCGATAAGCTAGATATGACTGTCCCGGCCTCCTTTTGTCGGCATTCCTTCGACAATACATCCTGTTGAATCCGAAATGGCCGATACCTGCGTAAGCGTAAACATCAAGTGCGGTGTCACAGTGTCACTTATCCGAGTTTCCAATATGAGTATGTCAGTGGAGATAGTGACACACTTAGGTGCCCTTTTGGAGACAGGATGAATTACAGTGAGTACTGTGCACTCGAATAAGTTGTCGGAACATCTGGCAAAATGTTAGTAAATGCCCCCCGGAAAGCAACGACCTGAGTAATCAAATCGAACAACGTGCAATACTGGACCTGGTCCCAGACTCACCGGTCTTCGGATTTCAGTCAGATCGTGTGCCCTAGCTGGCCGAAACGCAACACAAAGGTCAGCCTCACGCGCAGCACTTACCCCGTAGGAATGGTGTAAAGTGGGCGCGAGCACTGCATCCATAAGTGGAAAATCGGGACAAATATATTGTACAAAAAGTGCGGGCAGGAAAGGTTGCGTAATGTAGAACCCTTAACCACTCTACAACTCTGACATGGAGCTGGGCCACTGGGTTCATGGAAACCAGTAAATACAACTGGCTGGTCTGGAGTGGAACTCTTCCTGCAAAAAAACTAAGTCTTAAGGGAAGCATCCGGCAGCTCAGCCGTAAGATGACAAACGAAAAAAGAAACAGATAGGCCGAAGTCCCAATAATATTTTGGGGCCATTCGAACTTACTTTACGGACGCTGACTGACCGGCAGCAAGTATTGCTGCGAGCGATTTACTGGGGACGGTTGGAATTGGTTCTTTTGTCCAGTCAATCTGTATTTTATTTCGAAACACGTACTCGAGTTTTTCACGAAGTATACGTTCCATCTGGTCCTTTTCCACAGCATTATCAGTACTGCAGAAGGCTCTCCGGACGTATTCTCTACATCTATTATCGAAAAGCGTAAACACAATTACTTTAATTCTGGGCTCCAGTGATTCTCACCACCCGCAGACTCTGAAAGACTTGAAGGACCGGTCGCAATATTAGAAGCCCCTTGTGGTTTTGGACCTCCATAGACGGTGTAGTTTGCGGCACTACCCGTCTTCGCGGAATCTAGAGACTTACATACGAGAGCGTAACGCTACCTTTCAGGGGAAACCGAGGACCGGACATAGGTGTAAACGAGTTTGGCTGCACGCCTGGAGCGGGGGTAGTTGGACATGCCGCCTGGGAATTGTCGGTGGTAGTGGGCTGGCTACTGAGGTAGCTACAATTTAACGCATTCCACCGGGAGGCGGCATCCATGGCTGAGAGACCAGCGTAAGGTGTGTATAGAGGATACACGTAAGGTGTGGCAGTCGGGACAGCTGAAGGGTAGCTTGTAACATTATCTGATGTTGGCGGTGCCGTATCAGCTTGATCCAAACCGGGAGGCGGTGGTGTGCCCGGTTTTTTCGTTGCTTCCGCGGAGGCGTCCGCGAGCGGTGGAACTGCCTTATGGTTATAATCATACGTCTATGATATATGCAGATGAGTAAAGCGCTGAAATACCTGGGGCAAAGGTCCGCTCTGATAATACTGATAAGGAGCAGCGCCCCAAACTGGGTAATAGGCCCAACTTTGGTCAGACATTTCAATAAGAAACGAGTGCGAAAGGACAACAAAGTAAAACAAGGATGGTAGAGCCCCACGGAGGGAAGGAACCTGTTTAGTTCGGTTAGGTGATTATTTCAGGGCCCCTTCAACCAGAACTCATATTTTCTTGAAGTCTAATCTAGCATAAAGAAATGATCAACAAAAACTTGTAAAATGAATTAAGGATCGAAACAACGAAAAACAGTTGCGGAAAGTCCAGAAGACGAGGCCATATGTGCGAAAATGGAGAATATGACGCTTAATTTACTGTTATGACTTTATAACTTTGTAGTATCCCATTTCCTTAAGCACTCCACATTTCATGCCCTTCGCATCACGTTTCTGTGTACCCTCTTCAAAGTTGATATCTTCTTTAGACGTCTTTGGTATAACTGCGAACTGCACTTCCAGCACTTGCATTCTACTAAGGAGTACTCTTTCCGTAGAATGTAGTGATGCCAATCCTTGGTTCCATCGACAACGTATTGCTTCAACTCCAGTTAGATCAGTATGCTGTCGAAAACATGCCAACTCGTTTTGCTGTTTGTTTTTAAGCATGCATGGTGTATTTTCGATCAGCTTGTTAGCCCCAGAAAATAAATGGAATACATTTTTCATATGCAAATGACGGCTTGCATCAATTGTAAGTGAAAAAATCAGTGTTACGTCATATTGGTCGAAACCACACAAATCTACGTCGTGCGCTTTGCGGATAGTCGATTTGAGATAATTTGTAATAAAGGTCAAAGGTTGACTAACCACATGAAACTTTCTGCGCCCTTCCGCACTTGCCCAGCCTGGAATTTAAAGACTAACTTTTATCGATTTTTTTTCACTCACCTTACCCCATTTTATGTCACTGTATTGGCCTGACGAAAAGTTACCGAAAGGAATGTTCGTTCGTCACAGTCTCTTCTGAATAAATAATTTCGCGAAGCAAGCTATATTCAGACGCCTAAACATCAGTGATGTAGAGAGAACATTCGTATGGCGTCTGCACTTGACTCTTGACTCATTTTACTTCAACGCGACCTTAGACGGTAAGTACCTTTCTCTTTTTGCTTTAATTGCTGTAGTGTCTTAGTTTAGCAACTGAGACCCCATCATGGTCAATTTGGCATGCTCGACAATGCCTCTGAACGCCTTTTCCGCGTAATCTTGCTTTGTTTCCAAGGCTCTGTATGGATGCTTTCAGCTGTCACCCCAGAGACGCCAAATGTTCAACTATTCGCGAGCCCGGCACGGTAGTAGATGCTTTGTAGATTCTGGTTAATGTTCCATTTTCCACATCACCGCATCGGTTTACCTATCACTTACCTTTTCCATGAACACACTTTGGAGGTTTCTTTGCTGACACAGCCGTGAGCAAGTTCGAACTTTTTAAACGGACCTTTGCGAATGCATTTTTTTTTTCTTATTCTCTGACTGATGCGCCGATCGCCACTATTGCTGTTACCTCCAATTTCATTCTGGATTCAGACCCTCCGCTGCAAAACTAAAAGGGCTTCCAATCGCAAATTTTCTACTCTACAAAGTCCACATGCCTACATATGTGTTGTATCACTTTGGCGAAGAACAGCTTGCCATCTGTCTCGACCTTACAAATTTCTCATGAGTATGTCGAAGGCAGAGATTTATCTCACTGGCACTGTCCATGAACATGCTACGTTTGTCCTCCCCAATTCCCCTAACAAGTGTTTTAAGTCAGTTTAAGTCAGTTTATTAAGGGGATGAGGCTTTCGCCCATGAGCTCCCTATTCATATCGATACACAGAAATAAAGTCATCAATTACAACAGCAAATGCGGAAAGTTAAAAAGTTAGCGGTAAGTATGAGCGAGTCGCAAACTGCCGCTGCTAAAACAATCGTTACTACATGTACAGTAGTTTCTCAAACACTGAGCATCTAGTCTGCACTTAAAGGATTCGGTACTTTCGGGAAGAACCATCGCATCAGGGATTCCGTTCCATGCCCCAATGACCCTGTGAGAGAAGGCGTTTTGTCGGACGTCCGAGTGAGCAGTTTGAAGGGACGACAACGCAGACGGTCAGTCCCGGCCAATTGGAAGAATTCATCAAAGTCTAGGGCACACTGACGGCCTCTGACAATCCTGTAGGTTTGAATGAGATGGCCGCGGAGTTGCCTGTAATTTAGAGGAAACAGATTTAGTTCGGTCAGCCTGGTTTCGTAAGGCAGATGTTGAAGATTCTTGACCAGCTTCGTAGCCATCGCCTGATCCCTTTTCCAGTCGTTGATAATCTATCTTCAAACATGGTCGTCAGGCCTGGACTGCATATTCAAAGTGAGACCGGACGAATGCCCCATAGGTTTTCCCGAATAGCTCTTTATCGATCTGCACAAATCCTCGCCTCAGCGCAAATAACACCCTTATCGCACTTTTGGCTGCCCTTTGACACTGTGATGATGGTTTCAGCAGGAGGTCATTAGGACGCCGAGGTCTTTCTGTTCCACAACGTTTGAAAGGGGCTGACCACCAAGGACTATTGAAAGGAATCGTGTTCCTCACTGATCTTTTTGGCGCGGAGTCTTAACACCACACATTTGTCCACATTAAAATTAAATAACCAACGAGCTGACCAACTGTTCAGGCGGTTGACACTGTCTTGAAGTGCGTACCTGTCTGCGTCAGATCTGATGGGTCTCCACAACTTAACATCGTCAGCAAACATGATGGCGATGTTGTTGCAAACGTTTCTGATTAGGCTCCTGACTGGTATTCCTCCAACCCCCCCCCCCCAAAAAAAAAAGAAAAAACTTATTAAAAACCACTGCCGACTCTTCAGTAGTTTTCGAATGCGTGGCCGAGCAACCACACCAACCTGATTTTACTGGGCAAATGGCTCACATTAGTCTTCAAATCAATGCAACTCACTCGGCCTGCTTCAATGCAATCTTGTGTGACACGTCGTGAGTTCTCTACAGACCCAGAGTACAAGGTGAGAAGTGACGTGATGTTTTCAGCGAGTTGTACACTCTTACAAGTACTGGTATCCAAGCTATCTAGTCCCTCCTAAGTTACCGTTTTGCCTGTCCCAGTATGAACACCGTCATCCGCCAGCTAGAAATCCAAAAGCGGACGGCACCACTAAGTTTCCACCGGCATCGTGGTTATACCTGAAGCATGTATTGCGCAGGCACGCATGAATCTGGTAGGTCCTTTGAAAATATCCCATGATTGCAACTGCTTATTCAATGTAACTGATCGCGTTACTTTATGGCCAAATGCAATCTCCATTCCGGACATAACTACAGATACTGCAGTTCGTGCCTTTCTGGAGAGGTAGATTTCCATGACGATGTTCCACAAATTACTACCAACGACTGAGGACAGCAGTTTTAAATTATATTTTTGATACCACAGCAGTTGCCAATCTGCGACTGTTTCTGGTGATGGGTTCGAGTGGGATTCCGGAACTCCAGGCCAATAAAATTCTTGTCACGGTAATCGCATTTTCTTTTTCTTTTGAGCTTACATTCTCTCGTCCATCGGTCTAGTCGAATGTCTCCACCGTCATCTAAAAGCCTCGTTCCGGGCTTGAAAAATCACCCTCTTTGGAGCACGAGTCTGATCCTGTTCTTGCTTACTATCCGCACGGTACCGAGACACGATCTGGAGTGCACCGCCTTCGACTTGTTTACGGAACTACCCCACGGATCTCCGGAGATTTTCGGGGCAGCGTCAAAATCTAGCCGAACTGAATGGTACCGATTATATGCAAATGTTATGCCAAGCACTGCCATATCTCCGAGCTATCCCTTCACCCGCTCCAATCAAATATGCGAAGCATTGACCTTAACTTATCGACCTGATCCATAATGTTTTTTGTCGATAATCATCACCAGCCACTACGTTGATCCTACGACGGGCACTTCTGCTTTCCACCCCATGAGGAGAAGCACCTGGAGGTCTACCGCGGTGATGCTACTTAGATGGTCTCAATGAATCGTTCGAAGGTTGATCCTGTAGACTAGCTCTCGCCTGCCCCAACGAACCAATATCTTTCACACGTTACAGTGTCCCCTGCGATTTTCTGGCCTTCGCTTACGCCTCAAACTTCGTTTAATTCTTCTATTCCTGTTGGAAGCACCTACACTCCCAGAAACAAGAGCCAGCCAATCATTGGAGATCATGTGTGTTTTTTCTAGCGCACTGTCAATATGATAATGGCGCCTCGCCATTGGCTGCTTCCCTCGGACCCGATTGATTCGTCTATGAGAGAAATCGATCAGCTCACGCGGAATTTTCTTCTCGAAGTGCACTGGGTCGAATGCAGGCGAGCCCAAGTAGGATGTTATAAACACGCGTTGCTTTTCCAGTATGACTTGACCGACAGTTTCCTAATAACCTTTCCCGGGACCGGCCGTGTTCTCCTTCTCTGCTGCGTTGGTATTGGGACAGTACTCGAGCGCGCCTGATTCCTAAGTACCAGGACGAGTCATTACAATTCCCAATTCCATCCCTTACATAGCACGCCTGCCGTTTTTGTATTCCACGCTTTTTGTGTTTTCAAAATCTATTCTAATGGACGAACGAAGTTTGCAAGAGGCAAAATGCTTAATAATAGTATGCTAACATAAAGCGATTAAACTTGGCAGACGAAATAACCAACAGTGACTACTCCTTCACCGACTGCAATCAAGTCATTAAATTTTACCTGATTTAGGTAACCTACGGCCGCCACACAGGAAATTCAGTAGACAAACGTCGTAAACCGAACCCCGGCCCACCCTATCTCCCCCCCTGCCCCAACGTCTCCATATGTTGTAAAGTGTTTTTATTGCACGAATAAAAATATCCTTGAGGGCTCTAAAGGCTCCCCGGCATCATTCTCGTTAGTTGTTCTGCCCGAGTTAGGAACTTGACAAAACCGGATTTGCTGAACTTTGAACCCAGTCTGCCTGTCCAATCTCCCGATAGTTCGTCCATCGAACTCGACCAAGATCGTAAATGCATAGGTCATCGGAGAAGAATATCC